CCCAGCCACTCAAAATAAATTCTGTGTGCCTTTTCTCCTGATGGGAATTGCTGTCCAGGAAAAGGATAAATTGCTTGCGTGAGGTATAGTTTGTGTCCCTGACGCATGGCTGAGGAGCTCACTAACTTGTCTGGTCCCATCCTGAACTCTGTCAGTCAGTAGCTCAGAGTTCCTTCAGAAGTCCTTGTGCTTCAGCCTCCCACTTCTGGAATGACAGATGTGCATTGCCAGATGTGACTGGCCTTTAGCCTTCATGGGGTCATTGTGCCAGTGTGTGCAACGGTGGGGATCTCAGAGGCAACGCTAAGTCCAGGCTCCAGCCTCAGGTGGTTCCGTGAGGGTGTGGGCCAAGAGAACCGCCCACGTGTCAGATGTTTTGTTTTTGTTTTGTGTTTTTGCCCTCCCTCCCCACCAAGACATGGGTTCTCTGGGTAGCCCTGGCTGTCCTGAAACTCGCTCTGTAGACCAGGCTGGCCTCGAACTCAGATCTCCTGCCTCTGCCTCCCAAGCTGGACTCAAAGGCATGTGCCACCACTGGCTGGCCCATGTGACAACTTAAGAGCTCTCACTACACGAACCACCTGCCCTGGCAGAGATTGGCAGTATCGGTTAGACTTGGTGACCTCATGCTTACGATCTTGGGAAAGATAAGGCAGGTGGATTGCTGTAAGTTGAAGGTTCGATTTTTCCGCATGGTGAACTCAAGGCCAACCAAGGCTATGTAGTTTGACTCTAAAAACAAAACAACGGAAGGGCCCTGGGAATGTGGTCTAATTGGTATCATGTTTGCCTAGCTTGCTAGAAGTCCTGGGTTTTATCCCTAGCGTCCCATAAATCAGGTGTGGTGGTACACATCTGTATTCCCAGCACTCATGAGGTGGAGGAGGGAAGATCAAGGCTGTTGTGTGCTGTATAGGGCATTTGAGGCCAGCCTGGGTTACATGAGCGCATCTCAAAAGATTAAAATAAAAATCAAGCCCGGCGATGGTGGCACGCCTTTAATCCCAGCACTAGGGAGGCAGAGGCAGGAGGATCTCTGTGAGTTCGAGACCAGCCTGGTCTACAGAGCTAGTTCCAGGACAGGCTCCAAAGCCACAGAGAAACCCTGTCTCGAAAAACAAAAAAACAAACAAACAAAAAAATCATAGTCCAACAGTACTCAGGATATGGATATATATATATATATATATGTGTGTGTGTGTGTGTGTGTATATGTGTGTGTATATGTGTGTGTATGTATATATACACACATATATTGTTGGGCTATGATTGATACATATATACACACACACAGCTCTCTATATACATATATATACATATATAAATGTATATATATACATCTTATCTAGTTGTCTCTTGGGGAAATTGAAACTGAGGCGCTGACTTAGGGAGGGGGTTTAACCAAGCCTGGCCAATGTGTAACAAGTCTGGAACTAGGAATACAAATCTGTTGGGGCCCCCTGTGTTCTCCCATCCCCAGGCAGCCGAAATCTCCCTGCCTGTCTTTGTGGGGAATTTGAAGAGGGTTTAGTTCCTGTGAGGCAGGGGCAGCTGGGAGGACCAGACAGGGGGCTGGGGGTGGCTAAAAGAGGAAAGATAAATCAAAGAACCTCTCGTCTGGCATCACAGACTTGTGACCTGAATTGTCGCAGCTGTTGAAGCAATTGGTTGGAGGACCTGTGACCCTTGCGAGAGGCAGGGGTCAGAAGAGATTATCTGAGGGTCCTGTGGGCTGGGACAGCTGAGGGTTCGGACAGCTGAGCTGGTAGCTTTTTTCTAAGAATAGCCACACTGGGTCGCCGAGACCCCAGGACCCCTTCTTGTGTTGTAAGCACAGAGGACAGGTAAAGTGGGGTCCTCGATGGAATGGGTTGGTCACCGCTCGGGGCTCTAAAGAGCTAGGCCCATAGCTGCTTAGGCCTGCCAAGCACACTTTACAGGACTGGTTCGCATTTGTTTGTTTATTATGGAAGGGAGGGGGGGTGGCATTCATTCCTTGGCACACATCTGGAGGTCAAAGGACTCCTTTAAAAAGTAAGCTTTCCAACATGTGTGTCCTGAGGATTGAATTCAAATTGCCAGGCTTGTGGGGCAAGCTCCTTTTCCCACTGAGCCATCTAATCGGTCCAACTTCTGTTTTGTTTTTTGTTTGTTTGTGTTTTGAGGTCCTGAGGATGGAGCCCAGGCCTCATGCAAGAGCTCTACCCTGTCAGCCACACTCACCCCTCCAGTGTGGACCGTGTAGAGGGCAGTGTGTTCCTGAGATGCTCAAACACTGGACACTTCTGGTAGCCTAAAGAATAAGGAAAGTGGGCTGGAGAGATGGCTCAGTGGTTAAGAGCATTGCCTGCTCTTCCAAAGGTCCTGAGTTCAATTCCCAGCAACCACATGGTGGCTCACAACCATCTTTAATGGGGTCTGGTGCCTTCTTCTGGCCTGCAGGCATACACAAAGACAGAATATTGTATTCAGAATAAATAATTAAAAAAAAAAAGAATAAGGAAAGCCTCTGAGTTACCCACTGTCCATAGGGAATAAGCCTTACACACGTCATACTGCTGACCACGCCTGCCTCAGTTTCCCCGTCAGATAACTGACACCCTCCAGCTTTGACTGTCTGTCTCCCAGTTCCCAGGCTATTCCTAACTACTGCCTTTTAACTTATCCACAGGGTCTCCCCTGCACAAGCAGGCGTCGGGCCCCTCCTCGGCCGGAGCCACCACCGCTGTCTCTGAGAAGCCAGGTCCAAAGGCAGCTGAAGTGGGTGATGACTTCCTGGGGGACTTTGTGGTGGGCGAAAGGGTGTGGGTGAATGGCGTGAAGCCAGGTGTGGTGCAGTACCTCGGTGAGACACAGTTTGCACCAGGCCAGTGGGCCGGTGTGGTCCTAGACGACCCAGTGGGCAAGAATGATGGAGCGGTGGGTGGCGTGCGCTACTTCGAGTGCCCGGCTCTGCAGGGCATCTTCACGCGGCCCTCCAAGCTGACCCGCCAGCCCACAGCTGAGGGCTCAGGCAGTGACGCCCACTCAGTGGAATCCCTCACCGCCCAGAACCTGTCCTTGCATTCTGGCACTGCCACACCCCCACTCACCAGCCGAGTCATCCCCCTGCGGGAGAGTGTCCTTAACAGCTCCGTGAAGACAGGCAATGAGTCTGGTTCCAACCTCTCTGACAGCGGTTCTGTGAAGCGTGGTGACAAGGACCTCCACCTGGGAGACCGTGTGCTGGTAAGTGTGGATGGTACCCGGCTGGGCACACCGCCTCTCTCTCTCTGTCTTCTGCCCCTTGCCACTTCCTGGATAAGGTGGAACCTAGGGGCTGAGCGGAGAAGGGACTCAAAGGGAACTTGAACATGGATGAGGCCGCATTCCTCATTGGTACAGCATAGAATAGCAGTGGAGAAGACATTGGCTCCGAAGCCTGTTGCTGTGTGAACCTGGGCAAGTGCACTTTCTGGGTCTCAGACCCATCTGTCCATCAGCTTTTCGTGGCTATGATGAAATACCAGAGGTGAAAACAAGAGAGGAAAGATGGGTTTAAGCATGTGACTTAGGAGGGATCGGGTCAGAGTTGGCCAGCTCCATCGTTTTGGGTCTGGAGAGAAAGGCACAGTGGGAGAAAGCTGGGAGGGGGTTGCTAGCCGAGTACAAGCTGAGTGCAGAGCTTAGGGACCTGATGTCAAAACACCCACAGTGAGTACTTCCTCTGAGCAGGCCCCACCTCCTAACAGCCCATCCAGCTATGAACTCATCGTAATTTAACACGGATGAATCAGTGCCCTCGTGATCAGTCCCTTCTTAGTCCTGCCCCCAGCTGGGGATGGAGTCTTCAACACTTGAGCATTTCGTGTGTGTGTGTGTGTGTGTGTGTGTGTGTGTGATGGTGGTGGTGGTGGTGGTGGTGGTGGTGCATTTAAATCTAGACTGGTTCGTTCTTTCTTTCTTTTTCTTTCCTTTCTTGACAGGGTCCCACCATGTAGCCCTAGCCAGCCTAGAACTTTCTATGCAGACCAGGTTGGTCTTGCTTAGACACCTTGTCCAACCATGATACATTTACAAAATGGGAGTCTCCAGCTGGGGCTATAGCTCAGCTGGTCAAGAGGTTGTCTGGCAAGCACAGATCCCAGGGTTTGATCCCAGCACCCCATAAAACAATATGCTGGCCCACACCTGTCATCTCAGCTCTTGGGAGGTGGAGGCAGGAGGATCAGAGTTCTAGGTGAACCCGAGGCTGAGACTGTAGGACAAGCACTTCTGTCATGCAGGCCGAGACTCCCCTGCTTCTCTCCAGCCTCCTCCTCCTTCACCCCCCTGAGGTTGGCAACCAATATGGCAGTTTTCATGGTAGAGGCTTCCAGAACTTTCCGTGGGGAAAAGATGGTCAGTCATCTGAGAAATTGGAGAAGGCACTTCAGATTACCACTGAATATAGGGCCATGAATATTCAAACCACTACAGATATTCATGTGGAGACAAATATGTATATATGAATATTCATGTGCTCGTGAATATTCATTGGGGCAAAAAAGGCTCTAGGGGGAGTGAAAAATATGGTTACTGAAATCAGAAAATGTCCAGACGTGTTAGAAGAATAAGAGGAGTTGAGAGTGCGGATGCATGTCTGTAATCCCAGCATTTTAGGGAGAGAGGCAGGAGGTATTGGTTCCTAAGAGGCCAGTCGAGGCTACAAAGTATCGGTTCAACCTGGGCGCCAGAGCAAGACCTTCTCAGAACAACAAAGGGCTGGGCAATAACTCAGTTGGTAAGCACTGTACAAGGACCTAAATTTAACGTCCCAGAACCAAGGTGGAGAATTTGGACTGTGGGGAGGTGGAGGCAGGAGGATCCCTGGGGCTTGCTGACCAGCATTCCAGCTAAATTTCAGCCTAGCCAAGTCCAGCTTCAGGTTCCGTGAGAGACCCTGTCTCAAAAACCAAGGTGGAAGTAGTGCTGCCCGGGGACGAGCCACTTCCTTTCTGCGCTCCCGCGGCCTAGCGAGCAGGTAGGACATCGACATGCAGAACGACGCTGGCGAGTTCGTGGACCTGTACGTGCCGCGGAAATGCTCCGCGAGCAACCGCATCATTGGTGCCAAGGACCACGCGTCCATCCAGATGAACGTGGCCGAGGTTGACAGGGTCACAGGTCGGTTTAATGGCCAGTTTAAAACCTACGCTATCTGCGGCGCCATTCGCAGGATGGGCGAGTCAGATGATTCTATTCTCCGATTGGCTAAAGCTGATGGAATTGTCTCCAAGAATTTTTGACCAGAAGAGATTGGGGGAAATTCTGTCATAGATAAAAGTGACAAAAAGTAAAAAAAAAAAAAAAATTAAAAAAAAAAAAAACACCAAGGTGGAGCAGATCAGGAAGCACCTGATAGGGACCTCTGGTCCAGATGCACATGTACGTAGTCACATGAACACACACAAAAGAGAAGATTTACATACAAACACACACACACAAAACGAAACCCTGCCATTTCAGTAAATTAAATGGAACTGGAGGTCATGTGAAATAAATAGTAAATGGAACTGAGGTCAAGCAGAGTAGGTGACAGTAGCTCATAATAGCACATATTTACACACGCGCGTGCACGTACACACACAGACACTTGTGCACGCGCGCACAAGAGCTTGGAGTGTTACCTTAACCTACTGTGTATCTAAGGATGGCCTTGAACTCCTGACCTCTCCTGCCTCTACCTCCTGAGTGCTGGGACCACAGACGCACCTTCAGTGCAGCGGTGCTTGGGTTGGAACCCAGGGCTTCCGCCTGCTAGCCAAGCCCTCTGCCAGCTGAACTGCATCCCCAGCTCCATGTTTGTGTATTTTATTACAAACACAGGAGAAGTTTTCAAAGGCTCCCTATTTATTCTATTACAAACACTGGAGAGATTTTCAAAAGCTCCCTATTAAAAAAAAAAAAAGATGGTTATGTCAAGGGATAGGAGCAGTAGTTCCCTGAGTTGAACAGTGCACACTGTAGAAATACAGACACTGTATGCACAATCACACTGGACCCCATTTATAAGTACAGCTATTGTCAGTTTAAAAAAATGAGGGGGTTGGGGGCTGGAGAGATGACTCAGTGGTTAAGAGCATTGCCTGCTCTTCCAAAGGTCATGAGTTCAATTCCCAGCAACCACATGGTGGCTCACAACCATCTGTAGTGAGGTCTGGTGCCCTCTTTCTGGCCTGCAGACACACACACACAGACAGAGTATTGTATACATAATAAATAAATAAATAAATTTTTTTAAAAAATGAGGGGTGGAGGCTGGAGAGATGGCTCAGTGGTTAAGAGCACTAGCTAGTCCTCCAGAGGACCCAGGTTCAATTCCTGGCATACATATGACAGCTCACAACTGTCTTTAACTCCAGTTGCAGAGGACCCAACACCCTCACACAGATAGCATGCAAGCTAAATACCAGTGCACGCAAAAATGAGGATCACTGAAGTACAGACTATTCTTACATGTCAGTTAAAAATACCTTAAATGTTTCTAACAGAAGTTACAGCAGAAGCCTGCTATTTAGAGAGATGGGCATGGTTATGGAATCATTCTACTGAAAGAGGAAATGGTGTTTATTTTGGGGGGAAAGGAATGAAGCTTCTGGACTTTGAAAGGTGGGTCGTGTAAGACCATCAGAAAACACAGATCTTACATTACTCTTCATAACAGTAGCAAAATTATAGTTATGAAGTAGTAACGAAAGGAATTTTATGGTTGGGGGTGCCCACAACATGAGGAACTCTATTAAAGGGTTGCAGTGTTAGGAAGGGTGAGAACCCCTGGCGTACTGGTCAGTTTTAACTGAGAAGGGAGTCACAAATGAGGAACTAGCCAGGTCACATTGGCATATGGTCATGTCTGAGAAGGGGGTGGTCTTGGTTGTTAACTGATGTAGGAAGACCCAGCCTACAGTGGGCAGCACCATCCCCTACCAGGGGTTCCTGAACAGTGTAAGAATAGAGAAAGCAGAGTGTCAGAAGCAAGCAAAGGACACGTGTTTGTTCTTGTGGATGTGATGTTTTCGTTTCCTGCCTTGACGTCTCCACAGTGTTAGACTGTAACCTGGAACTGTGAGCTGAGTAAACCCTCTCCTCCCCTCGGTTGCTTTCTCCCAGCGACCTTTATCATGGCAGCAACAGAAGGAAATTAGATCAGATCTGGTTTTGCAAGTACTTGGGCCTCTAATTTATGTGTCTGTATAGCTTGGAGTTTTGTTTGTTTTGTTCAGTTAACTTTTCTTTTACAGTACTATATACTTTTTCTGTTTTGATTTTTTTAAATTTTATTTTAGTGTGTGTGTGTGTGTGTGTGTGTGTGTGTGTGCATGCAGTTGCCCAAGGGGGCCAGAAGAGGGCGCTGTCTCTTTGGGGATTCTAGACAGGTGCTCTATCATTGAGCCACACCCAGCTCCTCATTGGGGGATTCTAGGCAGGGGCTCTACCACTGAGCCACACCTCAGCCCCTCACTGGGGGTTTCTAGGCAGGGCTTTATTACTGGGCCACTGCCCCATCCCTGAAAACTGCTTCTGTCTTTTTACTGAAAGCATTTACCTGGGTGGGCTCTAGCATCATGTAGATGTTACGTACATACAATATTTAATTATCACAAGTGCTCATTTGGTAGATGAAGACGCTGGGGTTCAGAGAGGTTCTGTCACTTGCCCAAACTCCTGCAGCAGTTCAGATCTGTGTGTCTCTCTCCAAGCCTGTGCCCTTCCACATAGCAGTCATGTGACTCCCTGGACCCTGTGTTCCTCCCAGCTGTCCGTGGGTATCTCCTCTTTTTCATCTGCCCTCTGCCAGGCTCAACCTGTGTCCCCTGCATCCTCTGGACCTGCCTCTCTCCATGTGCCAACAGGTCGGTGGGACGAAGACCGGCGTGGTACGATATGTTGGGGAGACGGACTTTGCGAAAGGCGAGTGGTGTGGCGTGGAGCTGGATGAGCCCCTTGGGAAGAACGACGGGGCCGTGGCAGGCACCAGGTACAGTGGGCTTTCGTGAGGACTGTCAGAGGGACAAGGATGAGGCGGCAGAGGTAGAGTGGCCTTGATGTACTAGACGCCAATGATGCCTGCGTGCTTCCTAACAGCAGGTCAGGCTAGGCAGGGGGAGTGATTGACAAGAGAGCTAAGGGCAGAGGCATTGTCACAAGCAGGCACTAAGGGAGTTCCCTTGCTTATCACACAGGGCTGAGTTGGGCAGAAAAGTGAGAATCTAAGTGTTTCCTGAGCGATGCGAAAAGCTGCAGGTGTCCTGCGTGCTCAGATCCCTCCCTCCTCCTTTTTAGAAACAGCCCTGTGTAGCACAGGCTGGCCTCTAATTCACTACATAGCAGAGGCTGGCCTTGCACCCTCTCCTTCAGGGTTTTTCTTCTCTATGCAGGGGGTTCCCAGGGATAGAAAGCTGGTTTGGGAAGTAGATCAATTGTTAAAGTTACAGCTGGGGTACCCTAGATAGTTTGTAGGGTCCTGGAACAGTGTAGCCTGGGAGGCCCCACCTTGATTTTGCTGCTTTTTCTTGTGTGTGACGGACAGCACATGTCTTAATATTATTTCCAGAGCTGCTCAGAGCTGTAAATTCTTGGCACTCCCATCCTCCTAATCCCCTGCCTCCACCTCTTCAGTGCTGGGATTACAGGCGTGCACCACCTTGTCCGACTCCTCCATCTGGAGGACCTGTCACCTTGGGATGTGGCTGGCGGGGGTGGGGGGTGGGGGTGGGGGTGGCCTGAGGAGACACCTCTGTCTTTCGGGCTCAGGGATGGAGTAGGAGGCAGGGGAGTCCCCAGGTAACGATGGCATCATTTGTGGCTCTGTCGTGCTTCCCAGGTATTTCCAGTGCCCACCCAAGTTCGGTCTCTTTGCACCCATCCACAAGGTCATCCGAATTGGCTTCCCGTCCACCAGTCCAGCCAAGGCCAAGAAGACCAAACGGATGGCTATGGGCGTCTCGGCCTTGACCCACAGCCCCAGCAGCTCCTCCATCAGCTCTGTCAGCTCCGTGGCCTCCTCAGTTGGCGGCCGGCCCAGCCGGAGTGGCCTGGTAAGGATAGAACCGGGGAGTTGGAGAACGCTGATGTTAAGGGTGGAGGGCGGGATCAAGTGTCCTAATCCGTCCCTGGCTTGCTCTGATTCCCTCGGGTGGGGGCGGGGGCAGTGTGATCTCTTCATAGGAAACATTGGTCCATTTATATGTTTTATTATTGTTATGACTGGCTTCTTGGTCACCTTCCCCAGGTAAACAGTGCAGGGTAGATACAGGCAGGGAATTTCAAAGGCTGTTGCAGGTGAGAGAAGAAGTCACTTGGGTCTGGGTAGAAGGACTTCATTCGGTACCTCTTGGTCTAGAGTGGAGCTGGCCAAGGTGAGGCAGCCCTGTTGAAAGTGGAGTCTCAGCTATCATGTTACTTCTGTGGGTGAATCAGCGAGTGAGTTTCAGACATACTGGGGCACAGGCGGGCAGAGAAGCACAAGGCCTCCTGTTGTGTGTATGACACCCCGAGTGTCTTGAATCCCACCCCTGCCCACTCTCTCCAGCTCACAGAGACCTCGTCACGCTACGCCCGGAAGATCTCAGGCACGACAGCCCTGCAGGAAGCGCTGAAGGAGAAGCAGCAGCACATTGAGCAGCTGCTGGCTGAGCGTGACTTGGAGAGGGCCGAAGTAGCCAAGGCCACCAGCCATATCTGTGAGGTGGAGAAGGAGATCGCCCTGCTGAAGGCACAGCATGAGCAGGTGGGTAGCTGGCAGGCTCCAGGTGCGCTAAACACCTCTTCCCATGGGGCTGGAGAAGCCACGGGTGGTCATGGAAACTAGAAACCCAGAGCACAGTGCACAGCCTCCAGCCAGCTCAACAGTTTGGAAAGTCTCTCTACTAGTGAGCTCAATTGGTTTGGACCTCTAACAGGCAGCTTATTTGAGAGGGTTCCCCTACATAAGCCGAAGGGGCAGGGCCTTAGTGAGTTTTGTCAGTTTCAGGGACTTCCTGAAGTTATTGAATTGTTTATTTCCTGAGTTTTCACAAGCTTCCCTACAAGATGGATGGTTTTACTTCCCTTTAGAACATCCTGAGTTTTAACAGCTTGCCTCCTAGATAGGATTCCTTCTAGGGGCCCATCTTGGAGGGAGGCCCATAATGATCAAGTGCAGAACCGGCCTTTAAACCTGTGCTTCCTGCTTTTAGTACTCCCATACCAGTGTTTTCTAGGTCAGAGGAGACTTTTCTGTTTTTGCTGTTTTTTTAGACAGAGGAGTCTCCCTTTGTAGCCCAGGCTGGC